GTGTTAATGTCCATGCCCTCCCCAGCCCAACAGGGCCCGAGGCACGGCGGCACACCAGAGGCCGTGACAGCAGGGGCAGACAGCCGGGCGTACACCGGCCCAGACCCCAAGCAGCACTCCCCACAGAACCCGAACCCCCGAAACCCCACCGGGGCCCCTGCCCAAGGGCAACGTGCCCCAGGGATCCCAAATCCCAGGACCCACCCCAGACCCACCCCGCAGTAGGGCCGGGCAATGCCCAAAAACCCCCGGCGCCGGCACCAGCACCCCCACCCCGACACCGGCCCCTGAATGACTCCCCCCGACACCGGTCCCACAACACCAATCCGAAAAAGAAGAAAGCCACACAACACAGCAAAGCGCAAATCCCGAGCCTCACTCCAAGCTCTGATTTCCCCGCCCACACCCCCCCTCCCACACATAAAAAAAACAATTATATCAAATTCTTCACAGAAATATCAACTGAACTGTTTTAAATACATCCATTAGAATAACTAACCTGATGAAGGTTAGAAAGAGATCTAGAACCTCATACCAGTGCTGACCCAGTTCTCCCTGAACTAGAACTGATACTGAACTCAGTTCAAGCAGGTTCTCTACCTAAATATGCTAAACTCAGTTCACAGCTCCTACTGGAACTAGTTCTCCTGTATTTATCTTCATGTGCTGAAATAAAGTCCAAACATAAACAGGTAATGATGTCCTTCAGTAATCAGTGTCTGGATGATCCAACAGCCCAGTGGTTCCCAGTCCTGGGTCTCATTTAGAAAACATTGGTAGGATCCAGACTAAAAGTTTATGTACGGCAAACACCTGAAAATGGAGCAGGACAAAAAAATCCTGTTTTCTAAAACTCTGAACAAAACCAAGCAGCTCAAAGTTTGTGTCCAAGGCTTCACCTCATGTTCACGCCTCTTCAAGCCTCCATCCAAGCAGAAATGGTCCATCAAAGCACAGCATGAATGTCATTGTGTCTTTAAATAAGCCAGCTGATCAATGTTACTTCATAGTTCTCAGGGCTGCATCTCCGTCCACAAACCAAAAAGAAGTCCCTCAGAGGAGCATTAGAGCTTTAAGGTTGGAGCCTTCCGTTCATGTCCTGACATAGAAAGCAAAGCTGAAGACGACAGAGTCATGTTTAAAGGCCTAAATGACTGATGGAGTTTCTCACAGAGCAGAACTGGGTCTCTGCTGCCCGATGGCAGCGACAGCAGAACCTGAGCGCCTAAGGAGAAATGCTGCTGCTCTTTCTTTAGGAAATTTACTAAAGTTTACCCCAAAAAAACGGGATGATCTTTAGTTCAACTTAAACAGAACAATGTTAAATGACGTCAAAATGAGCATTGTTCACTTGATGTTCCTCACTTCAAAAACGTCGTTGTTTATTTCAAAGTTCTCAGAAATGTGAGTTCAGCTCAGAAATACATCCATGGACTAAACTAAATGACACATCAGGGTTTTTGATTTCTTTTATCTTCCTCTTTATCAGCAGTTTTTTCTTCTTTCTAATCAAACCATTTGACCAGAGGCCATAGAAACAAGGGAGAAATTCTCTGGAAGAATCTCCAGATGGGCAGGGACACTAAAGCCTAACAATGCCTCCACCTTTTATTCCAGATACATCCAGCCTCAATAGATCTGCTACTGAGAGATGGAGCAGCAGCACCGGGAGCTCAGGGCCTTGTACAGAGGAGGAGAATGGGAGAACCAAGTGTCCTCTTGAGGACTGAAGTCTTAGAGAGGTTCTGGGATTCTTCCTGTATTCCACACTGCTGCCCATGTTGGCTCAACATCACTAAATAATGTTGCTGGGAATGGGAGTGGGAATTTCCTGCATCACCAGCTCTAAATGCACTGGACTCTGGGAGGTTTTGGATAATGCTGCAACTTGACAAGTTAAAGGACATGAGTCATTCAATCATCATTCTAACCATGAATTAATAATGATTTATCTATTGCTAACCCACCTCAGCTATTGCTGGGCCTTAAACAGTTATGTTCAAGAAGTGATTCAATCATTTATCATTTATTCAACATATATCTGAGTATTGATTTATTGTTTAGTGGTTCAATCATTAATTGCTTCCTAGAAGCATTTCTAAACATATACACTGGGTGCATTTTATTTTGTCTTTTACTGAGATGACTGGTAGTAAATTGGTATATGTTTCTTTTGGTCATTGGATTTTCTTCTCAGAAATGGGAATTTAAAAAAACAAAAGCAAATGGCGATTTGATTTTTGCTTTAAATTAAAAAAGAAACTTGAAATTCAAAGCATTTATCTTTTTCATTGTCGAAAGGGGAAAAGGAAAATAAAAAAAACATTTTGAATTTAATTTTCCATTTCGAAAAAGAAATAAAAATGCTTCAGAAGACAAACAAAAAAAGGCTTGTTTGTCGTCGCTTGTTCATATTCTGAGACCGGATGTGGTTACTTATTTGTGGCAAAAGCGCCAAAGTTAGAACTGCCCATAGGGAAAAAGTACCTGCTGTTGTGTAATTGAGCTTCAATAAAGACATGGAGCCATACATTGTTTTCCATAACAATAAAAGAGTTTCTATGAGGACTGAAGTAAGAAACTTCGGTAAAGATCGTTCTACAACTCTTACTTTGGGAAAATGTACTTAATTCTATTTTTTGCAATTTTTCCATTTTGTATAATGCATGTATAGTAATGGCTGCTCAGTAGAGGAGTGGGTAGCACTGCTGCTTTACAGCAAGAAGATTCAGGTTTGATTCCCAGCTGGATTTCTGCATGGAGTTTGCATGTTCTTCCTGAGCATGCGTGGGTTCTCTCAGGGTACTCCAGCTTCCTCCCATAGTACAAAATCATGACTGTCAGGTTAATTGGTTTCTCTAAATTGTCCTTAGGTGTTGGTGTGTGTCTGAATGGTTGTTTGTCCTGTTTGTCTCTGTGTTGCCCTGCGATGGACTGGTAGCCTGTCCAGGGTGAACCCCGCCTCTCACCCGTAGACAGCTGGAGATAGGCACCAGCTCCCCTCATGACCCCCTACTTGGGATAAACGTGACAGAAAATTGATGGATGGATGGATACCCATATAATCGCTTATATGATCATATATAATGGAACTCTGACATCGACCTGATTTAAATGAATTTCATTAACTTTAGAGTAATTATCCATTCAAATTTCTTTGTTTCTTTCCCTTTTCCCATCCAGGTTTCAGCAATCCAGGCAATGAAAACCTCAAACTGTTTTTAACTCTGACCTTTAAAAGATTCTTCCTCTACTGACATTAATTGAGGGCTGATCATGATTGGCTGGTACTTCATTAAACTAAGCAGAGCCTTGTACAGAGGAGGTGAACGATAGAACCAAGTGTCCTCTCCAGGACTGAAGTCTTAGAGAGGTTCTGGGATTCTTCCTGCTTTCCACACTGCTGCCCATGTTGGCTCAACATCACTAAATAATGTTGCTGGGAATGGGAGTGGGAATTTCCTGCATTATCAGTTTTAAATTCACTGGATTCTGGGAAGTTCTGGATAATGTTGCAACCCCACACTGGAATTCAACTCATTGTTTCATGTTTCCTGCTTATTATTGAATAAATAATGAGAGGAAGTTTGAAAAAGAAATAAACTTTAACTGGATCAAAGCAGTGAAGAAGAAATCAGACTTTAGCCTGAAGATCCTCAGTGTGGATCAGTAGAATATCAGCCATATGTCTGCAGTTTAGAGTCAACACAACTTTACCATCTGAAATATCAGCACTAAACTAAAACATGGTGACTGACCTCAATGTCTTTAGTTTGCAGAGGGGAGACTGGAGAAAACCACAGAGCTGCTTCACTCCACCAACTTTCAGGTCGTTGAGGCTCAGGCCCAGTTCTGTCAGATGGGAGGGGTTGGACTTCAGAGCTGAGCCCAGAGAAGCCCAGCTGATATCTGACAAACTGTAGTTATTCAATCTGAATAAAGAATTAATTACATGTTGAAGACACTGAAGACACGGGTCAAAACTAAAATAACAAAAAATTATGAAAAAAATGTAGAAAAATATTTTGACTACAGCATCAACACCTACAACAACTGCTTAAAATGAATCCCTATGAGTTACTGCAACATTTAATTTCCCTTCTGGTTTAATAAAGTATTTTATGAATTGAACTGAATCTATGGAGGAAGATGAGAAACAGCAGAACCAACAATGCAGGTGATCTGAAGGCTGCTATCAAAGCAAGCTGGACTTCCATTGGACCTCATCAGAACCACAGGCTGATCTCCTCCATGCCACACCGCATTGATGCAGTCATTAATGCAAAGGAGCCCAGACCCGGTCCTGAGAGCACAGAAATGAACAGAACTTTCAGCAGCCTGACATTTCTGCTTCAAATCTCCTTTTCTGATCTGAGGTCATCGTTACTCTGCAGAAAATAATGAGTCAGCTCATCTCCATCATCAGATTGATTCTAGCAAAGTGTAAAACCAGAGGATCCAGGTTAACAGGAGTGGACTCGGAGTGCTGTCTGTACACTGCCTCATCACATACTGACTACACTTCTCTGCTCAATGTTATCACAAACAGAACACTAAACACTTGGACTGTAAAACCCATTAGTAGTACTGTAGTCATCCCTATTAGAACCCATGACATCACTGTCTGTAGATCCAGTTTTATAGAAATTCTGCCCCATTTTCATTCTATCTGATCCTCTGATGGATCACCTTTATGAACTGGATCAGCTCGGTTTGGGATCAGAGGTTCTGGGATCACAGGTTCTACAACCATCTCCTGACATGACCCATCTGCCTTCAGGATCCAGGAGCATCTCTCAGCAGTTAGCTTCTATCATCTGAACTCAGCAGGCATCAAACAGTTCTCTGGTTCATTACTGCGATCACCACGGACCACCATGCCGCCATGTTAGACAGCCCACAGAGCAGATTGCCTTTACAAACTTCTAAACTTCTGGATTCCTCCTTTAGCTCCACATCTTTTCCACTGAAGGCACCAATGATCTATTTCTGCTCTGATCCATTATTTCTATGGTATTTTAGGACTCTGCTAACTAACAGAAACAGAGGAATCCAGGTTAACAGGAGCATCCTCAGTGCACTGTCTGCCTCATCACTCTGACTACACTGATGAGTCATGTACAGAGCGCCCTCTACTGGTCAAACCTACATTACACATTATGTTGGTCTAATAATAGACCTAAAACATTCTGCAGGCTCTATTTTCCTGTCTTGTATTAAAGGTA